TGGGGGATGTCGGGGGCAGAGCAGCTGGGGCGTTGCTGGGTTGGTCCTGCAGCACCGAGGGGCGCATCCCCCCACTCCACCCCAGATCCCTCATAGCCCCCCCCCCTTCCGATAGTCCAGCATATTTGATAATCCGGCACCCCCTGGGTCCTAAAGGTGCTGGATTACTGGAAGTTTACTGTACATTGTTCGGATTGCAACAGACTGTGAAAAAGCCAGTTAGAATAATATGATTTTAAGTTAGAAATAAACCTCTTCAAACAAAGTTACTATTGTCACAGTACCTCAGCCAAGTTAAACACCAAGGAAGAAAAACACAAAGTATGGCATACCAACAGTACTGTTTCTACCTCCCTGTCCCCACGTGCTGCTTGCTCCTATCAATGAGACATTGAATCTTTTAGGAATTGAGCTGTCTCCTTAAACATATGCTGTTTGTGTAAATATTGTCAGACTGAATCTTCATAATGTAGTAGCTTGCAGTGCATGTGCCAAAATACAAATTAGTTTTAGCTCCGCCATGAAAATAGATTCTCCTACCCATTTCCCCATCTCAATTCAGTGAGTGCCTAAAAGCAGAAAGGGCAACTAATACAGTATTGGTTTCTTTAGCCAAGACAGATATTTCTTTTTTGCTGAGAGGGGCTGAAATGCTGTTCTTTCTTACAGAATTAGGCTTCCCAAAATCGTTTCTTATATTGCTAACATATCATTTAAACTACGACAAATATCATTGACTTGGTTCCTCCCATAATTTTCCTCCTTACTTCCCTTTGAGGCACTGATATTTTGGCAGTGGCAACTCCTGCCACATCGGTGATTAAACTCCCTTATCGGCTGGTAAAATTGGCAGATAATGTAACCAGTCGTCATCTTCTAGCATCTGATTTTACATATTGGTATGTTAGACAGAACACTTTGTGATGAGAAATATTTACAGAATTAGACTAACATCAGACTAGGCTCTTCGCTGTACACCAGTGGTCCCCAACGCGGTGCCTGCGGGCGCCCGCCGGGGCATTCGTGTG